TTGAAAAATAAAAAAAAAAAAAATAAATTTAAAAAAAAAAAGAATGGGTCGTCCTAAATCCAAAAAAATGTTAGAAATATCTGTAGTTCATAAAAAGTTTGTCAACCATACATATAATTCCAGAACTACATGCATATTTATTGCCACATTCATTTTAAAACAAATATTGTGAAAGACTACCCACAGTGTGAGAAATGTCACCTAAATGCTAAAATAACCTGTAAGTATAAATTCTTAATGGTAGGTTTCTTGTCTATCATTAAAATAAGTATCAGCTTCTCATCTACTTTCAATTTTGCTGAATGCCACTCACTTACAACTTAACTATAATGATTCAAAATATCCAGTTAAAGTTTTTCACCTGAGATTTTTAAATTTTCCCCCAATTCCTCCAAGTCATGATTTATTTGAAAAACTCAGTGTAAGAATTATTTACAAACCTCCATCCATCCTTCTGGAGATAACTGAAGGCTCCATCAACAACACTGGCAAAGAACTGCCCGCCTGTGATGAAAAGGGTGTTAATGGTGACTAACCGGCCTCTTAAGTTAGGTGGAGAGACTTCCGCAATGTACACCGGCACTGTCATAGAAGCAATGCCTAGGAGGAAACAGAAGTGAACAGGACACATTTACTCAAGATTTCTACTGTTGCTGTAAATATTAACCCAGTCAAAAACACAGACATAAATATGTGGGCTTGGTTTCCTACCTTAAACAAAGATTACTACATACTTAACACTTTTTTTATACATAACTTATCTGAGGCTAATGCAGATGAGTATGTGAGATACCAGTATTATTTTTTTACATTACTTGAAAGCCTAATAAATGTACCTCTATGGACTGAAGGGAACTTTACAGTGCTTAATTGTGTTGTGACTTTTTTTTCCTTCTCTCCTCTCCTCTCCCCTCCCCTTTTTCCTTTTTCGTGTTCTCTCTCTCCTTCCCTTCCTCCTTCGCTCCCTCCTTCCTTCCCTCCCTCCTATCCTTTCCTTCTGCTTCTGGGTCTTCAGGGTAACATTCCCTGCCTTTTCCTTCCCTCTTCTTCCTCTCCTCTCCTCTCCTCTCCTCTCCTCTCCTCTCTTCTCCTCCCCTTTACTCTGTTCTCCTGTGCTTCTATGTTCTCTGTCTCTCACTTTGTCTCTCTGTTTCTGTCTCTATCTCTGTCTCTGTCTGTCTCTGTCTTTCTCTGCCTCCCTGTCTCTCTGTCTGTCTCTGTTCTATCTCTCTCTGTCTCTCTGTCTCT